TCGTTAGCTGAGCAACTCTATCTTTATTTGTTTCGAGATCGAGATACCGCGCGGCTTCAAACTACCGTGAGGAACAACAATGAATAAAGCGTGTAACTTTCAGCTAACTTCGTCGGACCGCGTTTGAACATAATCCACTTGCAAGGCTCCGTAGAAATCTTTGGAGAAGTCAAGTTAACGAAGTTTACAGGGAGTTGAGCGTTATTCGGCGTGGCATGTGTTGTCGCGATGATCCGCGTTTCGATTTGTCTGTAATGTTAGCATTTTCGACAGTGTTTAACATCGTCGTTACAGATTAAGAAGACGGTTCAAACTCTGATAAAAGCAAACTGATCACGTAATTGCGACGAATAATACGGATAGTAGTTTTTATGGTTTGCAACCTCAATATCTTTGCATTTAAAGAGTTATTAAATGGAAAACAATTACTGAATAATTTTACTTGCAAAATTTGTATTATTAATATTGAAGTAAATATATGTATTATTAATATTGAAGTGAGAATAGATACACTTGATAAAATAGATTTTACATTTATTGTTATGATTATTATAACGGATTTATATAATGTAGAAATCTTATATTTTAGAGGATGAAATTTTAATACCTCATTGCCTATTTTATCATATTATAAGAATCATTTGAATGCATTTAACTATCCATCACAATTTAATAGTGATGCATTAAGCGTCGTGGAATAAGAGAATAAGAGGGAGAAAGAGAGAGACGGAGAGGAAAATCTACCTAAGGTTTAATAAACGTTTCATCTCTACTACTTATGTTGAAGAATGTTCCCTTATATTAACTCAATTTCTATTATAAATTAAGTACATTTTATCGATCGAATTAATAAACGGGAACATTATTACAAGTAATGTATAATTTTTCTCAATTTGAGAAATGTTTTATCAAATAATAACGATGACGTGAGTTTTAATCCGGACTTTTTCAGACTGACTTTGAAGAGTGCTTGCGTTCTATTTATGAATTCAAGACAAAGTGCAGTTTGGAACTTTAACAATTTATTAATGAGAAGAGAAATAACTTTCCATTAGTTTCTCAAATCTTTCACTGATATCGTGAAATTTCAATAATCTCGTAAACAATGCGTTGCTGGCAACTTTCTAACTTTTCCATGAATATGCGCTCGTCAGTTTTGCATATATGTATATGACTGCATAATCTATAGTTAACGTAACATGTGCATGTGCGTTTGCTACGGTAGAGATTGTTGGAAGACTCAGGTGTACCGATAACTCATTGCAGGTGTCACGATACTGCATATATTATTCTTCCAATAATTCTCTCATAGAGATATCTAGCGAGGTGATATATCTCGCTCACTGGTTTCGTGTTACGGTTATTCTAAGGTAATTTATCATTTTACTAAGAAAATTTAGTTATTGAATATCACTGATTTCTTTACTAGAAAATTATCGGACATATTTTGGAATAACATATCGATACTCGAACTGATTAACAAGATTATAACAAGACTATATTCACAAGCTTTTTTGTCGTGCGTAAAAATTAAATATAAAATATGAAAGAATCATTTTTCAGGATTAATTTAAAACTTTAACAAAAAATATGTAGAAGTTTAATAATTGATTAGGAAAGGCGCAAATTTTGCTGTTCAATCGAGTTTTAATAGGATTACGAATTTTTCTCTTTGATGTAAACGAAATCGAGAATTAATTGAAGCTACATCCACGCATTTATCGGATTATTTTTAGAATGGAATTAGATAAAATTTCATCGGAAGAATTGTATGTGTGTGTGTTTTTTTTTTCAAATTTTTTTCGCTTGATCCCTATACTTGTAATTTGCATGCAGGCAAAAAGGTATACTTTAAGACTTTGGTGCGGACGTCGAAGTGCATAGGGGTCGATGAGGGCGAAATGCTCTCATAAGTTCGTTGAAAGTCATTGAGGGAACGCAGACAATACCCTCGTTTTTCGCACCAAGTTCTTTAGGGTAGCGATGAGTTTTTCGAAAAGTTGGCATGCACGTGTGCATACCTTCTGTTTCTTAATTCTCTTATCCATCGCGTCTTCCCCTAATTATACGGTGACATTTGTCATAATTGAATTGTAATTGTGCTTGCTTATCGTGCGTCATTTATTATATTTGAATAATGGATGACAGTGGTGTGTTAAACGGGACAGTTAGAACTTTAGGAATAGTGGAAACTATTAATACAGTAAGCACATGAATATGTAAGATGGCGAATCCTTTGCGATGCAAATTGTTCTCGTGGGTCCTGCAGTGAGTTTACTGTTATCTGTTACAATTTATCGCTTCTTGTTGAAGCGCAGTTTCTTTTATCTCTATTAAAATTTTTTTAAACCTAACACGTATCATGTACTCGCTTTTATTATACATTACGTCATTCATTTTAATTGACTTTTTAATATTACGTGAAAATTTCTCGAATTATGTCAAGAATACAATTGACATTTTATTCGAACTAAGAGCGTTAAAGCAGTATTGTAATTAGCGACTTCGTTTGTGATTTATGTTAGAAAACGATACGATCGTACTTAATTACATTCACTTTTGAAAACTGGGGCTCGTATTTAATTGCATTCACTTTTGGAGAGAGAAACTAGAGCTATAATTCAAGCTATTCTACTTTTGGTTCTGACACAATTATATATATTTCTCTTCAATATCGTCTCTACCATACTTAACTTTTATGATTGTACATGAATTATTAAATTATTACTTTCTAATTTTCCTATGATTGGATTTAATCCGAAATTATTTATTATGTAACATAAATAACATATTGAAAATTTTGTCATAATTCCAAAAATTAAACATTTCAAGAAAATCTTTAATATGTAATATAATACTTATTAAAGATTTTCTTCAAATGTTTAATTTTTGGAATTTTGATAAAATTTTCAATATGTTATTTATATAATAAATAATTTTGGATTAAATTGTAATACATGTGATATATATATATATATATATATATATATATATATATAATGTAATATATTACGTTAAAGGAGGTCATATTATTAAATAGCGAAATATAAATATGATAAGGGCAATGAATCATTTACATCTCTTGCATTAATATTGGATAGACATAAGGTAGAGAGATGTATCACCGAGCTTTTGAAGCAAAGCGATAGTTTAAACCACTTTAACGAAGCCCCGAGACACGAGGGCACGTGTCCCTTATATATCCCTCTGAAATTCACTGCACGATCATGCATGAGTTGTCGGATTATATTAACCTGTGAGACGATGCAACGTTTATTTTCTCCTCGAATGATCGTCCAAGTTTCGAATTCATTTTATTATGCATATATTCAACAACTTACGAATGATAATATTGTCTACAACTATCCAATTAATATATTACTATTAGCAAGTTATAAATGATATTGTCTTATAACATTGAATAAATTAGTTGGAAAAACGGAAAAAAGTTCAACTAGAAAAAAGTCTAATTAGATTTATCGGAGATAGATGATAAAAACTCTGTAAATTATCTGCAAGAAATATATAGAGAAATCAATAATTTTTATTTCTAAATTTGTATAATTTTCACAATATTTTTCACCTATTATATTAATAATTTATGCGCTAAAAAATAATTTTGATATATTAAAAGAATTTTTTTATTAAAATTCCTATCTTTTCCTCTCTTTATTTTCTACAACTCGTCATTTGATTGATCGAAGCAAACATTTTATGTTTAATTAAAAAATGTATGCTAAGTAAAAAAAACATAACTTTCGCGAAATTAAAATCATTTCTTATTTTAATCATTATACTTTAACTTTAATCATTATACTTTAACTTTGTATTAATTTTTTTTATTAAGAGAATATTGTTTGCACGTTTGAAAATTATATAGATATGTATATTAGATTAATAGAACCATTGCAGTTTTCTTTTATAAAGATATATGTGTACATATCTATCAGTACTCCATTTTCCATTTTAGTGTCTGTGCTGTTTGACGACATGCGCTCTCGCAACATTACGCATATAAGGTGCATTCTTAAAGGTACACGGACAACATCAGTTCACGCGTGCGACTTTTGTAGATCTTGAATTATTTCCAATTTTTTATTGCTTGTTTTATCTAGTTATGCTGTTTAGTTTGCCACTTGGATTATTTTTAATTGATACCTTACGAATTTCAATACTCTCTTTCAGTTTTAGGGAATATTTGAAAAGTATAATGAGATAAGAGCTGAAATGATATGAAAAATAATAATCTGAGCGTTTCTCTAACATTAAAAATAATAATAATACTGCTGCTATTTTTGTGATATTTTATATTTGCCATTTTACATGAATTTTATGTAAAATATTGTTTTTGTGTACGTGTGTATGTATGTATGTATGTATGTATATATGTTTGTGTGTGTGTAAGGAAGAAAATACACAATACGATATATACATATATACAAATATAATAGCATTAACATTTTATGATATTAAAAAACTTTTCATTATTTGATCTATTTCGATGCTTTTCAAACGCACAAATTTAACTAGCATATTAAATTCTCCTTGTCAAAACCGCAGAAAATTTAAATATACAATGTATATTTATTATTATATGTATAATTTTAATTTATTTATATATTATACATTTAATTTATTTATATATTGTACATTTCTTATAATATTATATGAAATAGGAGAGTGTCATTTTCTCTCAATTTTAAAATAAAGAATTTGATGCTACGGTATTTTTCAAAATTAAGTATTTTGTGAATCTAAAAAAAAAAATAAAAAAATCTTCGTAAAATGTATGACAATAATGCAAATGTGTGACAGTATCGCAAATGTGTGATAATTTGCAAATTAAGAGCTAAAGTAAAAGTTGCTCGCGCAATTTCGGTATGGCAACTCACGATGATTGACATTTCATTCTCACGGGGCTTACAAAACAGAACACTCATATATGTATAATCACTAACGTATATTCTCACCTCGTTATTCGTTTGATTCTAATGTTACAGTTACCAAGCTGAGGGAACATTGGGACGAGACCAATTCAAAAGTCATGCAAAGGAAGACGCAGTTGGACATGATGCTGGGAGACAGTCAGCGATATGAGGCGAAGAGGAACGAGGTGGAGGTCTGGTTAGCGCGAATGGAAACTAGACTCGAGAGAATGCGAGCTGTAGGACATACCGCCGACGTACTCGAAGCGCAGCTCAGGGAACAAAAGGTACGTCGAACTCTCTTCTTTCGTCTTTACGCGAGTAACCACATTAGCCCTTCGAGCTGGTGAGTTTTTAGTACCGCGCGTGAGAAGTGTCTTTAGTGGATAGTGAGATGAGAAAAACGACGTAGGTGTGCTGTACGTGATAATTGTTTTACCTATTTAAGGTATTGAACGCGTTAAGCAATTTTGAAATTTTATTCTTTTTATGAATATAAATTTATATAATCATGAAGTAGTATGGATTATTTGATGGAAGTACGTTAAAAGAGCAGATCTTTGTGGAATATATCACTTTACTTCAAAATGTTATAAGGAAAATCTATAAAATATTATAAAAAATTAATCGTAAACGGTATTCTTGATTGTGTCAGTTTACATGAATTTCTATTCTTTAATGAAAGTTTTGAAAGCATATTTTTCGCGTTACATATTTATTTACTATTGCTTCAATGGCGCGGTTTATTTTACGTTATTTTTACGCTGGAATGTTTCAGTAATACATTTTTCTTGCGTATCGGAAATGTATTAGTATTGAGCGACATGTGTCTGTTAACCAATATCATTTCGTTGTACTTCAGAAAGGAATGTCGATTACAATTCTCTTTAGATATATAAATGAATGTTGCGAAAATAAATGAATAGCTTGCAAAAAATTATTTTCTATGTATATTATATAAGAAAATTAATGTCAAATAATTTCATGACATTTTATTACGTGCAATTACATAAGTGCATTCACCAATCGCAATATAGGAGTTTTTCAAAAATGCAAAATCTTTTCTCGTATTATTATGTAGTATGCCTATCTGCACAAGCACTGAATATATATCCAAAGTTTGCGGGTGCAAATATTTTCCGAGGCCGCGAACTTTTCCCATTTGTAGGCAGAATTAAAGAGAGCGAGCGCTTCGGAATCTATCTGCCTGGTAATAAGCCCTTTCTGGTAATTCTCTCTCACTTTGCATACGAGAGCATAAACGTGCCCTGAAAAAAAAATGAATCGCTGAGGCGGCGGAACGGAGTTTTTCCAACGTCTCAATCAACGAGATCCCAGCCGGCAAAGCACATCGCGCGCGAAGAGCCCTGTTTAGATTCAAAAGTGCCAAATGAGATATTCATGGAATAATTTATTTTCGTGGCTGTGTACCACCGCGTCTCCTTTGAGTGTAATGCATTCGTTTGTGTTCTCCTTCCGAACTTGACGTGTCTTTAGAATGAGTTTTGAGATGAAAGCATTGTTCAACGTAATACTTTATGGTTTATTGCTTTATATATACCTTATTCAGAGCTATAATATATTTACGGTTAATATATCGTCTTTACGAGTATTTCTTTCGATTATTTTTGCGCGCTTATCGTTATTCGTCCATTTTGAAAATGCACATTATTTATAGGGAGGTTCTTATCTCTCGGTGCGCTTTGCAACTTTGATTGGGACCAATCAGTGCCCATCGGGATATCCGAAGAAAAGTTACGTACGATATATCGGCGTAAAACTTTAGTCGAAGATTTAACTTTGCCGACTTATCAAGGCTCAAGTGCAAAAGAGGCAAGGCTTCTTCTAACTCGATACGAAGCCGGAGTTAGATAAGTTTCGTTTTTTCGCCCGCTGACTCACCCTCATCGATTTTACGATTTCGTTTCCTTTCTTTTTCTCGCAGTCGTTCCACGCCGAGCTGCATCAATATAAGCATCACATTGAACTTTTTAATCAGCTCACTCAGAAGCTGATAGCTGTTTATCAACAGGACGATACTACACGTGTGAAGAAAATGACGGAGACGATCAATCAGAGATACAACAATCTGAACACGAGGTAAATGTCAATAATTTCTTTTCTTGCGAAAGCTTTCGGTAATTTTTTTAAGCATTTTTCTCGAACGCGATTTTATTGACATTTTATTTTTTTTTATTATATGACTATGACTTTAGTTTCATTAATAGAAACTTGTTTGTACTACTAGAATGTTGATTAGATACTTAATGTTATAATCAATTAATTTAATTTAATAAATTCGAACTATTGAAAATTTAATGCACATAAATATAATAAATATATATATATATATTTGTTTATTTAATATAGCCTAAAAATTTATATATACAAACGCTAATTTTTTTGAGCGGAAATTATCAGGACCAAAACGAAAGAATAAATAAATAAATTTTTATTCTTTGATTTATTTGTTATAATTCTTGAAAGTTTTATTTTTTTAATTAACAAAACGTATATATATTATATTAATATTAAAGATAAAATTATACATGAAAGACAATGAAAATCAATATATTTTAAAGCAGATTAACTTCGAGTATTTTTAGTCGAAAGAAAATAATGTAATTACTAAGACAGCTTTGTATATCGCGTATACTTGCATTCGCGTCTACACCGTCTCGAGAAACTTTGCCTCGAATCAAACTGCAGATCACGGATGTAATACTGTACCGAGACCGATCCGTTTCCAGCATCATCAATCGGGGAAAACTACTACACTCCGCAATGAACTCGCTTCACAACTTCGACCGGTCTCTAGACAAGTTCTTGGCCTGGTTGAGCGAAGCAGAATCCTCGATGGAAGGATTGGAAGCGGAAGCCGATCGACTAGGTGGACGACGAGACCAGGGCGCGCTCAGACGACCGCAACATCAGCTTAAGGTAAGATTGTCACGTTCACGCAAATTTCGCGACAAGTTCTGACATGATTCCCTACTAAAGTGAGTGTTTCGACTCGATGCAACGAAACCGCAAATCGCTTTAAATATTATCGATAGATCGCTAGCATTTTTCCATTCTTCGAGTTTGAAATGTCTTTCGAAATACTTAGTGTATCATGTTTCTTTTTAATCTGTATCAGGGAGTCGTCACTTATGTTCACGTGGTTGTTGAATCACTGTTAATCTCTCGCCACTATTTATGCTGAATATTTTTATATGCATGCGAGGCATTTATGACAATACTTTTAAATGCAAAAGTCGATTTAATAGCATGGAAATGATCTTGATTATGTTCTCTCTGTTTCTCTCTTTCGAGGCAAAGTTTCCTTAATGCTTCCATTTACTTGTTGCGTTTAACCGTATAATCGCGTCTAGAAAGTCGCATGTGTTCTCACATGTTGCGCATTCTAAAAGGGGCTTCGCGGAGCACTGTCAAGCGAATCGACCTTAATCTTCGAATAGATCCTAAATTGACTTGAAAAACAAGATGACATTTAAAGACTCTTTACTGACAGTTCATTATAATTTATTTACATGTCGTGGATTGAGAATATCTTTTCGTTATTAAACCATTTAATTTACTTTCTCGATACTTATAAATTTTTTTAAAAATTTTTACGCAACCGAGCAAGTTATATCACGACGCATATTTCTTTTTTTTTGCCAAGTACTCATGGCAGAGAGTAAAAATTATCTCTATCGATGTGCACAGCGCGTATGGGACCAGTTAGGAGTTTAATACGATTCGAGCCAGGCGCGTGATAAAAAAGTGTCCATTACGTCCCATTTCAGATCTCTCTGCGTCGCCTGTCGTTCGATATAGTTAGTTTTACAGCTTTTCGACTGATTGCCATAAAAGCGTGTCGAAGGTGCCGGCCGGTCAACATATCGACGTATCCATTAAAAAAAGAAGGAGCTCGATATCGAGTATCGATATAACGCGGACCATCAGTCTCGGTGCGCGAAACGTGTTTTCCTGCTTTATACGCGTTTCCCAGATTTCGCATGCGAAGATTTAAGCTTTCGTGCGCGCACACTCGCGTTATTATTTCGGTTGTTTTTTCGTCGGTGCTGACGCACCCGATAAAATTTCTCGCCGCAACTGGCAGTCACTGCGCTCGCGTGCCGTGATTTAGTTAGCTTTTAATTTTGCATTTGAATCGGTTGCTTTTCATGCGACTCCCGGCGCTTTTTGCCGGCGCGTTAGCGATTTTTTCTCGCGGCGGTTGGCCGTTTCATTAATTTGCAAGCGATCATTCTGTACGTTGCAACGGATATAGAATGTGGGAGATGGTGCTCTCTCTTGTATAAAATAGAGAATAAATTTCTCGCGATCATGTGATTGCAGTGTTTATTTATTTATTTGTAAAGAATTTTGCATTTTAGTAATTTTTTCGCGACGTTTTTTTACGATAGAAAAGTGAGATTACAAACGTGCGACTATCGTCCATCGATCACCTACAATCCTGTGACATAAATAAACAACCACCAGAAAGAATAGTAAATAAAGTGTCAAACACAATTTCTAATAAGATGTCAAACACTGCACGTTATATTTACGTGTTACTCGCGAGAATTATAAAATTACAATTGATAATATTATTCGTAGATTTAAACTGATTACACTGCCAATTTGCGAATATCTCTCTATTAAAGACAAATTGATTTACCTTTATCCAATTTTAATATAACAAGTACGTTGGACAAGCATAGCTTCAACACTATTAATTATGCTGTATTTCTTGTTTTCGTAAGTATTGACAAAACCACTGCTCATATAATCTTAAATAACATCTATTATAATCTATTTGCTCGTCTAGACAGCATTTATTATTTGACAGAAACATACGCGATATTGTCGCACTGGAGACTTTGATCGATTGTGTGTAATATTTAAAAACAAACGATATGTCGATTATCACAAAGCTTAGCTTCTTGCATTTTAGAAAAAGACGTCGGATGAAATTATTTGAAATAGATAAAATTTATTATAAAAATTTCGTTCTTTTTTTTACTGATATTTCTATTCCACAAATTATCTATCTAGTTAATTCTAAATTTTTTATTTAATTACATGTAAATTTTTATTTTGGCTATATTCTTTGCTGGAAAATTAATTCAATAATTTGTCGAGAAAATTATTATTATGACCATATCATTATGGTACGACGTATATTGTATAATGTATGAGATGTATATTTTATTATTCAAAATATCGGTGAGAGATATGTGCTTTATCAAAGAATATTGCATATTCACAAGGCATGTATTATTATTAAGCAAATTTTAATTTTTCGTTACATAAAATCGCGCAAAGCTTAGTTCAGATGATTTTTACATCAAATATTTACATGGAAAAATGTATTATTTAATTCGAAGTGTACTGATCATCGAATTTGTGATATTTTAATACGTATTCTACAAGTATTTGAATAATTTATTAATCGTTTAATCATTAAGAAGGTATCTTCAACTTATCATGATAATGATTGATGATTTTTATTACTAATAATAAAGTTATTAATGATGGATTTTTTTCATTATTGCTAATCACTTAGCTTAATATTTATTACGGTGTTTAATATATATAGAGTTTTGAAAAAAAAATTATGATATAAGAGATTATAAAAATCTCTCTGTCTCTTTGTCTCTCTCTTTTATATATGAAAATGATGGTTATTATTCTGCTCAATATAGATGCGCATACATCACGTATGTCCAATAAATGGCGCAAGCATAATTTATAATTGTAATTATCAGCAATCTGGAAACAGTGGTTATATTTGATAAGCCATATAATAACTGACTCGAAATCCGTTATACGACCTCATATTAATCTCATAAGTATTATAATTGTGCAATATCTACTATTCGATGGTTCATCTCGTAAACAGCCAAAAGTGATTAATCATATGCGGGGTTTGCATTTAATATAATTTAGAGAAAGATTTTCGTTATATGTCATTTAATTGTATCTTTTCTTCACATTGTTTTTCATATATATATTGTCATATATAATAAATGATTAATGCCAAAATCTTTTCCTTTGGATGAACAATCGTTAATTGTAATGAAAATGATTTTAGATTTTACATTTTCGTTTATTGTACACTTGATGTCACGCTAATGTTATCGTGTAGGCTATTGCGAAAAACCTGTGTTGTCACCTCCCTTGTGTTACGACGAGAGTTATATGTCACGCGCAACTTTTTTTCTCCCATCGCATCGCATTTTCATGCGGGAACTATGTCGATCGTACCATCTGACACTCGAGACTAATTAACTTCGGTGAGCGCGTGTCCATTTTATCCCTCGCTAAGTCCTTTGTACCTCGTTGACACAATTTCGGAGTTTTTCGTATCTACGTTGCGGCGATTTATTTCGAGACCGCGAGATTACTTCATTGTTCACGAAATGCGGCATTTAAAAATAGATGTTAAATCGAGTCGAGTGAAACACAATCGATCTGCTACGGCCACGCAGAGCTCTTATTTAAGTCGCTTATTTACATACGACGATAGGTATGGAAATCGAGTACCGAACAAATGGAACGTCTTTTCCTCGATTGTGAAGCTCTTTTCATTGCTTTATAGGTTCATTGCTCTCGCGGCGAGCAAATCGGAGATGAGCTTCAAATGTCGTTTGCAGTTTGTACGAAGGCTAACGAGCTATCTAGAAGCGATTACACGTTTAAATAAATTCGCGATAGAGATTACCCGAGTCTGCTTTGTGAATTAAAATTTGCGATTGCAATTTGCTAATGCTCTTATACAGTTTTAATATTTTTATTGGATATAACAATGAGATGACAATACAATTCTGAGCTATATCGTTCTAGATGTGTATTTTTAATCGAGCTTGTTGCTTCCGTTTCTGATTTGGCATATGATGAATCGTGCATTATTATCATTCATGTGTACAATATAATACAATATAATTCTTCAAGGAGTACTGCATAAGGTTGGTCAATGCATCGCGCATATTTGCGGTTATTTGAATTTGTTGGCTTCAGTTTGCGATGTTGTCGTTCATCGAAATCTATTACATCGTTCAACGAAATTATCTCTATACTAGACAGCTGGGTCTTGAAATATCACTTAATTCACTTATACTTTTTAGGACGGTCCTTTAAAAGTTTCTTCTCTCTCGTTCCAAGTATAAGCAATATTTTTAGTCCTTAAACATGTTACAATTTTAATCCACTTTTATATAATTATTTTTATACCAAAAAAAATTTTATGCATTTTTTAAAAGAAACTTTTAGAATTTGTTTCAACAAAGTTATAAGACGAAAGCTTTGTAGTTTATTTTACTATACTATCGTAGACGTACGCAAAGTGATTTTATTAGAAAGAGATAAAATTTATTTGCATACAATTTACAAATCTCAATGTTGCAGATTTTACATTATTTATAAATTGCAAAATGCATTGCTACGCGACGTTTCATGTTTTTAATTTTTTATTATTCATTAAGATCTCAAATGGATTCGCTCTACTAAAAAATAATGGGATATTTTACTCAAGTCGAAACTTTAACTTTATTTCGGATTTCTCGTCATATCGGGATTCCGCTGCCTTTAGGAACCGTTTACACGGAAAGTAGAGAGCCATCGATCGGCAAGACGCCGGGGAGTCGCTTACGTGACCCGGACTTATGTTTCGCCTTTGGATGAACAAAGAGAGCACGGCCCTTTCTCATATTCATGGTAAACACGGCACGCTCTGCTTCGTTAAATCAACCCTGCCGTGGCTAATCCGCTTTAATGCAATTTCACTTGCTTCTTTTTTTATAGTCATACACACTCCATATGCGACTTCATGTGGCATTCCATGCGGTGAACCCTTCGCGCTTAGATCATTAGACAGATACGTGATTTATCGATATATCGGCGTGAACTTTCGAGCGCTGAAGGGGATGAAATGAGATAGTTGTGATGCA